TTTTTTTTTTTTGGAAAAATGCATTATAGAAGTGATGGACACTTTGATCATGCGGGAACTTCCATGTACTTTGAGAGCTTCGCCTACTCCGTCGGCTCTTTTTCAAACTATAAAGTATGTTAGAAAAGTTGTGCGAAATATGGTGGGCCATTCAGGGAAACTCGATTTTTCATCAGCGAGTCCCTACAGAGAAAGAGGGCGAAACAGAAAATTCAAGGTTAAGTCTGAGCAGAAAGTTCGGGGTGAAGTCTGGCTGTGGTCATTTCGTTTCATAGAGAGTAACGTCAGCATCAAAGCATCCTAATTGTGAATTAAGATTAGGATTGGACAATATCGCCTCTTATATTTTTCTGTTCCAATTAAATCTGTTCGGAAGAAATTTCTCTAGTCCAACGTTCTGCTCTGTAGGTCTTGCTTAGTTGCCCCATTACTTGCTTGGCTTCTGTGAAGAGTAAAAATGAATTTGCTGTAGCGGCGTGATTATTCAACTACAAAAGAACTTACACAGATGTTATGCAAACCATAGCCATACTGATGCTTCCGTGAATCATTCCCAGTATCATCGCTACACAACCAAGCATGAGCATCATATGAAATCGTGCTGACTGAAGTGACCATAATGCTGAATTAAGATAAGCAACTGCTCAACAGTACTATTAAATAAATCTTCAGAACACTTGATGAAATTAGCTATGCCCTCCCAAATTTGATGCTGACTTCTGTCTGTTTGCTTATCTGTTCATTTGCTAACATATTTGTGGGCGCAAGATTTTGTGACATCAAATCAATGAACAATTTCAACAATCAGAATTTGTTTTTCATCGCTAGGTATATTAATGCCTATAGGCTAGGGCAGAAACACCTGAAGCAAGTGCAGTCACATATTTTGTTCTCGTTTTGGCCAATTTATATTTTATTTTATTAGCTCTTTCGTAGATATGCCCCAATTTTTTCGAGAATTTTGCTTTGAAATAATGTCGGCAAAGTTTTTTCATAGCTGTACTTGAAATAAAGCGCTCAGAATAATAGCGATAGCCGAATCCACATGACCGCATTTTCTTTTCTCTCTTGGCTCTTGAAACTGGTTTTCCTGATTTGGTCTCTACTTTATCTCTTCCTATACGGCTTAGCATTTTTGACAAAGGTCATCATCATTAAGTGACTATTATGAGAATGATAGGCTTCTGGAGAAGAAGCCTACTTTGATTATGGTCTGTACTTATCATTACCCTCTTTTGTTAACAGCCTCATGAATGAATTATGGCTTTGATAAACTCCCCTTTCATGTATCCTTCACTTCTCGATAATTAATCATACTAAATGGCCAGACAGCTTCGTCTCATAAAAAGTTAATATTAATTTGGTTAGTAGTTTCCGAAGAAAAGCGAGATTCTCAGCGATTAACGGTAAAAGTTGCTTTGAAGATCCCTCAATCGAGGTACAGATTGTATTTGAGAGTAAGACGAAGAGATGGATGTACTTTAAGTGGCTGAGAGTATATTACGCATTCGAGGAGTATTAGTTAAGCCGATAATGAACACCATAGCCATGTATTCATTCGTGAAAACTTAATGCTTCCCAGTTCTAGAAACGCCTAAGTGTCCATTCCTGGCTTTAAGAGCTCTAATAGGCTCTTAAATTTTGGTGAATGGCGAACAACAGGGAAGTCTATTGAGCCCCTTGTGGTCAGTCCACCTTTCATCTCTCCAGAAACTAAGGAATACTTTGTTTTTTTTTTTTTTGTTTTGCGCTGATCACTTCGTTTGGAATACCTCCCAGCACCCCCATCAGAGGCTGCAGGGGTGTTCAAATTCCTATTCAGCTTTATCAGTGACTTGCGGAACTTGTTGTTATATAAAAGATGCTCTACCTCACGACTGCGGTGGAGGGCGTCATTGGCCGGTCGTCGATCAAGAATGTGATTTCCCGATCAATCACGTGGTAGGGGTCCTCTAAGACTACCCGTTCTGCGTAAGTACACTACAAGGAAAAAAACTGATTATAAGTTCGATCATCTCTTATGCCTTTTTTCTTCTTTTACTTTACCAGAAAAGAGATAGAACTAGTAATATGTAGGCGTGGCGTGGCTTTACTGGAAATGTCGGCTGAACACAGAAGAGTTTTCGTAATTTGTTAGGGAGCCCAGAATATCTTTTATAGCTGTCTCAGTTTCTTCTTCATATTTATTCCTTTCCAATATTTCATAGTTTTAAACTATTCCTCCAACCCTGTTTTTCTGATAGGCGAATGGCTTTTTGAGACGTCTACTGTACATCTGGCTAAATTTGTACATTTTCAAGCTTCCCAGATGTCATATCCCTTATGAGAGGTGAAAAATGAATAAGAACATAAACAGTAATTAGTAGTAAATACTTACCAGGAGGTGGAGGCGGCTCAAAATTACTGGTACTTGTTGTCGGCATATCGTCTGTTATTGATTTCCTGTGAAAAAATCAATTTGTTGAATGGTTATACAGGATCCAAATGTACAGAATCGGGCAGATGAAGCACTGACAGAGAGCAAATAGAACAAGATAAGGGAAGGTGAGGTCAGCTGTCAATGGAGGATTATGTAGTCTCAAATGGGACAAGAATTCATCTCTTGAATGATAATGCTACAAAAAAGTTCTCCTGAGAAAACCAAGGGGATTAACGGACGAGATTTATAATTGGAGAATGTTTCCCGTGACTGAGGGTGTTCCATAAGTGCATACTGAGAGCGACGCGTGAAGTATATACTTATGAAAGTGTTCTCGGGATTGTTGAGCCTTCTGAGGGTGTTAGATGAATGTTTCGCGGTGGCCTCTCACCTAATCCCAAAAGAGTTTCACGATTGGAACTACCAAGAATATGGCAAGAAAGCATGTAAACTTCGACTGAGCGCTCCTATCCGGGGAGGTTAGACGTTTGAACTAGGATTCTTATTAATTTGATAGAATCATTATATCTTTTGACCCTGGTGTTTGAATGAAAGGTTTCGGTAAGGCTGATCATAGGCCTGACACCCTCCAACAACCGCTTTTAAAGTGGGTAGGATCATTTGATTGAGTGGTGGAGCATCGTTTTTGAGCACAAACTAATTACCCATGGGCGGATTGATAGTAATGCCTTTTTTTGTAGTGTGGAACTGGTTAATTCGGAGAATTTCTTTTGTAAGATTAATTAATTAAATTTACTCAAGTACGGGGATAATTCTAGGCACGGAAATATAAACAGCACAACAGTAACAGCAGTTAGAGAAGACACGAGACGCAAACAAATGGACGCTGCTGTCTTATCGTACTTCGTTATCATGCATTGACTGGGTAGCCATCATAAAATATCTGTAATTGTTGCTCTGATGGAAGAGAAAACCGTTTTTTACTAAAGGAGAACATACCGTTCATGCCCTCTTCAGTGTTTTCCATTATAGTTATGCACGATTGAGTAGTCGAAAGTTAACGATTGATTGAGGGTCGTAAAATGTCTGTCTCAAAGCTGGCAACGCCCTTTCAGTGAATGGAAATGAAAGAAATCCTACTTTCAGTTCTTGGAATTCCTTTTGAAACGCTTAGTTGCTTTGTCAGATTCTGTTTACAAAGAAGAATACCAGTTCTAAAGAATGTAAGAGGGCAGTCAGAGAAACTTGATCGTTGGTGATTGTGAAATGAACCTCCTTCCTAGACTTGAGCTCACAGTTTCTTGTATAATAATTTGTAGTTGCCGAATGCTACACTAGTCACCCGATCTATGTATATGGAAAAGATGCATATACATATTTAGATCAGAACAGAGGCCGCCCTGTTCTCTGAAGAAGGTGATGTGGAGATAACAGTGATAAGGATATAAGTATTTATTTGTTTTTTATGAATGTTAAAATCATGATGGGCAGCAAAAGGCGGAACCGTCAGACTCCCTACTTTGTTAAGTGAATGGGTAAGCAGTTACACAGCCATATTTTTATAGATGTTTGGAGCAGAGATATAGTGTTCGTGACTAACAAACAGATAACAGATTGTGACGATAACTGATAAGAACTGGTAGAGAGAGGTAGGATGGTGATCAAATTGATTTATACCTTCTTTGTGATTCACTGGATGTGATACGCATTTAGGCGATGAAGTCCTTATAACCAAATGGTGATGAGTGACGTAAAGCGATAAAAAGCGTTAATAGGCGATAGTAAATGATTGGCTCATAAAATGTAGTGATGACTAAATTGCTGTCTTTCTTATGAGTATAATACGACTACGACACTTTAAGAATCAGATATTCAAAGAGCGGTGAAAAAGTAAAAACCCATTCGACCACATTCCCACTCAGGACTTTGAAACAGGTGCTATTTCGTCATTCGTACTGAGGTGTAAACATTGCAAATGTAGTACTGTGAGATATCCCAATTATAGATTCCCCGATATGATCACCCATTTAGCAACAGTCTGTTCTCATTTTTCGGAAATCCTAACATTATCCGGCATTTCGAACCATTAATTCTGATCCATTCCAATTCATTCTGATCACGAAATATTGTTCATTATTTATATTTTTGCGGTAAAATTCTATTTACTATCAGTTGGCTTACCCTTAAATGTATCTGAATGCTCATAATGAATAATAGTTACTTCCATCATTTCGAAGTATGATTACTAAGTAGCATTTTTACCATTTGCTATTTTTCTTCGTTATCGGTTCTATAATATATTGTTAATAAGGAACTTGGTTCCGCCGCCGTTATCTCCTTCTCTACTGGGTAATGAGGAGTGATAGTTGCTTGTAAACGTTGTTACGACATGATAATATGTTGGGCATAAGTCCTACACTCGCAGTTATGTATGCTGGATTATCAGTGCTACAAAAACGGCTCTAATTAATTGTGAGATCATATCTGTGCAGAGAAAGGGCTTCTTCAATAACAGCGCTTGTGAGGTTATTAATGAAGGACGAGATGTTTGGTTATGAACGTTGAATTGTTTGAGGGATTGTCATTAATAGAAATAGTGGTCGACTTTCCCTGTTCTAGTCGTACGACGAAAAGGTAGAATCAGCTTATCTCAGATGATCGGGATAGGGTAAAAATAAACGCCGTAAACACATAATACAATGAAGTCATAAAGGGCTAATCCCTGATTCATCGTCTACGTTAAACTTGTTTTGTTTTTTTGTACTCTTCAAGGAAATGCTAATCCCCAGATCCTGAAGAGACACAATATAATTGGGTCTATCAACACATCCAGTCTGAGAACAGGACATGAGGGATTATCGTCTAGCTCCTTTCTTGTGCCCTTATCATTGAAAAAGGTTATTAGAACTCTCGAGGACGAATACTTAGTGGGTGTCGACTTAGGGTGTTGACGAGGACGTGAGAACTGAAGACTATTCGGAAAACAAATGTGTATGCTAGCTTCAACTGAAATTATCTTGACAGTCGATCAGTGAGGCTCTTGGTGGGAACCAGTTTTGCCGTCTTATTGTTAGATCTCTTGTTATAGTTACATATCTAAAAAGCGTTTTTTGTATAGTAGGTTAGGTTGTGGGGAGAACTATTACATATATCCTTCATCGTTTAGCTATTCAGAATAGTCGATCGCGAAAGACACTTTTTATTTTAGAAAGTTTTCGAAAATAGCNTTAGAACTCTCAAGGACGAATATTTAGTGGGTGTCGACTTAGGGTGTTGACGAGGACGTGAGAACTGAAGACTATTCGGAAAACAAATGTGTATGCTAGCTTCAACTGAAATTATCTTGACAGTCGATCAGTGAGGCTCTTGGTGGGAACCAGTTTTGCCGTCTTATTGTTAGATCTCTTGTTATAGTTACATATCTAAAAAGCGTTTTTTGTATAGTAGGTTAGGTTGTGGGGAGAACTATTACATATATCCTTCATCGTTTAGCTATTCAGAATAGTCGATCGCGAAAGACACTTTTTATTTTAGAAAGTTTTCGAAAATAGCTCTGGTGGATAGGATTGTGCTCTCTGGTGATCGCCTAGAGTAGATGCTCGAGTTGCGTTTTTCAGGGCACAGAGGATTTGGGGGAATCTTGAGGCTTTGAACATCCATGCATCGGATATTAAGCTTCGATCTCTTAGAGACATGTACTTATGGTATTAAGCTAGGCTAATTTTTCCAAACTTCCCCATCCCCTTCCGCCCTTCTAGAACCCTATGTTCTCAGCTCCGATTCGATGTTTATAATTGTAATTAGAATACAGTCATACATACTATGATGTGTCGCTTTGTCTATTATAGTTCATCCACAATTCTTGTAAATTTGCGGACAGAAAGAGCAAGTCATTAGTGACCTCAAAATATATTCAGATTTAGGTGAAAGGTATCGTAACGTACGGTAGAATGAAACTGCTGGCCAACATGAGGCTTTAATTGATGATATGGAGACCCTCGGGTTCCCCGACGTGTTCCGGGATAGGTTTTGTTGGTGTACTAAGTTTTTTTTTCGTCATTAGCACGTGGTTTATGCCTTACTCGTCATGCCGTACGTCTGCTTACGCATTGGTTCAATGAGTATGGAGATACTAAAGAAAGACAGACTAATAATAGGGATGAAACGTTTCCAGAAACGGGCCGTGGTTGTGTCAAAGGCTCTTGGTCCTTACCATTCTGTCACCACCGTTACGCACTGTTACTCTTGCCTTCTGGTATCTTGGTATGATCTCCACTCTGAAACCCACTTCTAAAGTCTCCCGGGGCGCATTGTGTCGCCCAAATCAAAGCTGCCGTCATTGGTCATGGCAAACCAGTCCTGAACAGTGGATGCGCATGTGAAAACCGCAGAATCACAGGAAGGGAGGCAATAAAGTTTGAGGCTCAAGGAATGCCACCACGACGAGCCCAAAGAAAAGGTGGTGGGACGAAATCGAGGACTTCGCCGAAGGTATAGCTTAGAGGATTAACGCTAGTGAGAAGAAGATGACTGAAAAGAGGATGTCCTCACGAGAAAATACAGATTCGAAGAACGAGAAAACCCACAAGAACCTGGAAAATCTTTTTTGAGCTAATCATTCCTAGGATAGGATTAGTTTATGACGACGAAGTAGATACCGATTCAACCAGGGGAAGCTCAAGCTGTCTTCGCAATTTGTTTTGAGCTAGACCTTCTAAGAAACCGAAACTCGGACCTGCCAACCCACTTCTACTATGACTATGAAAAATAGTGTCAAGCGATAGGTTCACCCTGAGCATCCCTGTGATCACATCGTCAAATCGAATTGCCAGAAAGCAACGACTAGTTAAGTTGAACAGGGTACAGCATGCTTTCGCATTGAAAGTAATGGACACGCGCATGCACTTCTAGAGCATTTGGAGCTCTGCTCCACAGCTACAGAAGAATGGAGAAAACTGAAGACTTCTGTTCAAACCGCTACTCGACAGTGATTACAGTTCACACTCTCAGATGAAGGAGCTAAGGTGACAGTAAAATCAGAAGAGTTAGGTTGGTCGGTTGGAGGTGGTTCGAAGGAGCATGTGGTATGTTAGAAATCTGGTTTGTGGAAGGGTCATAGCACTCGTTCCATTAGGACACAATGTATGCATCGTGTATGTGCAAATAAGCAGCTGTAAAACGACGAAGGTCATTGATGACGTTCAATGTTGAAAGTCTCGGCGATTCATTTCATCAGGAGGGTGCGCGCAGTCATTGCTTGCGGACTGATGACTTACATAGAAAGTAACAATGCTGACGGCAATGACTGTATACAAATACAATTCACCTAAATAAACCTCTTCAAAACATCTTTTTTCACCAACAAGTTTCTTAAAGTCGTGGAGTTTGTGTCACAGCTCTGACTGGAGAATCCTTGTAGAATAGGCCGCACATTCGGGGCTTCACAAGTAAATATTTGCATGGGTCCCCTGTCATTATTGGTCTCTTGTGATGATTGTGGATGTCTGAGACAGTAGTCCGAATGTTGCTGGCACTGGTTTTACAACTTCGACTGGAAAGCTTCATCGGCATGAGCCTTGCTAGTGATATGATGGCAAAACTTCGATGTCAACTCCCAAAATGCCGTAACTTTATAATCAATTATCTTAATCTTCTCGCTACCTGTATCACCTGTCGTCCCGTTGATCATCGATTTTCCCGAGCGGGTGCCATTTACCAATCCATTCGTTGCTATGGCGGGCCAGTGGACCCGACTCACTCAAAGGGCTCAAAACACGATTCCATTCAGCGGTTTTGTGAACTTTTCATTTTTTCATTTTAATTTTCATTCTTTTTATTTTGTAACGTTGTTTGTATAGGTGTAGGAGGAGCTAGATATGTAGGAGGCCTTTTTTCGGTAGTACTGCGCGGAAGCAGGGCGTTGGCCGGTTCATCAAGGATTCCCTTGAGTTCTAGTTCGTTTGTTGTTATCAGCTTGCTGAGAATGGATAGAAATAGTCGAAAAAGATCACGTAATTGCTCAGTACTTGAATCTACCAGTGAGTACTACTTCTGAACTTGATAACTTACAGGGGTGAAGATGTGGTTATAACATTCTGGGTTCCGACAACATTTTCATACAGGGTATTGAATAGGGAATTTTTATTAATTCAATGTAAAAAGGATGTAAAATTTTTTCATCGATATCTGTTGATGCATATCTATTGAAGTTGATCACCCGTCTGATGTTGATGATGATGACGGCTCTTGGAGGTAGAAGCCCCAGTAGAAGATGTTGAAAGCCAGAAAGGACTGAAAAGGTCGAATCATTACTCCGGTCATCATTGAAAGACAATGACAGATTAGCCCTGGTGGTAAACCTTCGTTTTATAAAATTTCCGACTTCCGGAGACCATGCCTTCCAGCAAAAAGGAAAGGCACACCCCACAGCGGTGATTCTTGACGTTCGCAGGAAACAAGAATAGATTAGAGACCGAAAAGGACTCACCGTGGGAAAGACGAAAAATGAGATCCGATCGACCTGATTGCCAAAGTCAATAAGTCGTCGTTTCTTCTTCAGGTAGTGCATTCGCCGCCGAGCCGCGAGTTCTCGATCGAGCGAGTTGGCCTCCGAAGTGAACACGTCAGAATTGATTGAAGAGTTCTGGAAACAGATAGGAGATTATAACGCAGTGCTGAGGATGGATTATTGATCGGACACGCCAGAATTGGACTGTGAACGAGCAATGTTTGGAATTTTTGCTTTCTTCCTGATTCTGTTGGTCAGACAAATAGATGAGAAACTGAGAGAGCTTCGGTGAATGTGCAAGAATTCGAGCCAGCGTGAACCGGTGCGAAAAACGGAACCCTGAGCAAGCCAACAGCTCTTATATTTATGGTTACGACCTTGGCGGTCGGGAAGAGACAAACGTCATCAATGGTTTTCCGCCGCTCTTCGTTCTCTACCCATGGCTCCGGAATCGTATCCTCTCGTACATCACCAAACGGTATAATGTGCTTCATTAAGGTTAGCATAGCATTCAGTGTATTACCAGATCGGCTCGACTTTAGAAGTAGTTTTTTGTCCTGAAAAAGAGCTTTTAGCATTTCCAAGGATCCATTCGACATGCTAGAATGCTGACTTGATAGGCGACGAATGCCAATTCAAGAAGAGATGCAAAAATGAAGGCAACACATGTGAACATCCATATATCGATTGCTTTGATATAGGAGACCGGTGGCAGAGAGCGTATGATGTTACCAAACTAAAAATCGGGGATTATAGAAGTCCCTGGGTTATCGGATGAGAAGGGCATCTACGGGAATACCTGAAATGTCAGAGACATCAGTGAATTGACTCCAAGCACAATCCGTGCCGGTAAGGCTTTGGAGTCGATACAGAATGCTATCCATGAGATGAACACGGAAATGTATGTTGGGAAGTACATCTGAAATTATTGAATGACTGAAGAGCGCGACATTTTTTCGTGATGGCGCCGAAATCAAGGAGGTTTGCTCTTTCGGGTGTAGGTGATAGAGAGAGATCCGGGCTCCCACAATTGATGGATCCTGTACTAGTCAATGGAGGAAAAATATGCTTTTAGGCCCTGCTGCTCCGATTAGTGTAGCTAATGAACTCGTACACTCCTCCGAATTTCTTCAGCTTTCAAAATTCAAACTTACGGAGCCGAATTGGTCATTGTATATAGACCCTTTACAGTTTCACTTTCCTTATTTGTAAACTTGCACTTTTACCTTCCCATTCTACAAATGTTCACACAGTTCTCTTTTTGCTGACCTGCAGCTCCCACCACGATAGGTTGATCCTTGCCTTTTTTTATCAACCCTTATTCATTGATGAACTATGAGGGTTCGGCGAAAGTCACTAGTTCGACTGAATAGGTGTGGAACAGCAATTGTTTTTTTT